CACCGGATCCAGTGGCGACGGGTGTGGTTTCCTCAGTCAGCGCCGCACCACCTGCTGCCACAGAAGATCCCGCGCCAGATGGGCCTGTCAGACGCGCAAGCAAGTTGCACCTCGTGGTTGGCCGCATGCGCGAGCCGTCCGAGGGGGATTCCCCGCGTGGAGTGGCAGCCGCAGATTGCGTCGCCCGCGTCTGGCCATGCAGACTGACCGGCTCACGATCTGGAGTGGATATCCGCGCCCGATCCGAGGAGGATTGGCACGCAGGGGTGGCAGGCGCCACCAGATCGTCCTCATTCACCGCGTCGGCTTCGTCCTCTTCTTGCACATGAAATATAGCATCGTTTTGAATGAGATTTTGATCATTTTGATCGTTTTGAACGCCATTTTCTTCAGGGACCTGCACACACGGAAGACAAGGACTGGTTCCAGTAGGAATACTACCATCATGTTGGTTAGTGCAATTGTTTCCCCGTGATCAAGATCTCAAAGTGTAGATGGAAGAAGAAGAATCTCTTGACGAAGGAGGGCGCCGGCATTAGGATGAAGAGATTCAAACAGAAAAATTGATTCATCAAACACAACATCGCGAGATATATAAACTCGACCTGTGGGAACATCTAGACATTTTACTCCTTTATGCATAGGGCTATATCCCAAAAACACACATTTTTTGGAACGAAACGCAAGTTTGCGTGTGTTGTATGGTCTTAGGTTGGGCCAACATGCACAACCAAATACTCGAAGAGATTTGAAGTCGGGTTTAACACCAAAAAGACGTGTGATGGGACTTTCAAATTTGATGACTTTGCTTGGTCGAATATTTATGAGATATGTGGCAGTGAGAAAGGCTTCATCCCAGAATTTTAGGGGCATGGAAGCATTAGCTAGCAGTGCTAGTCCTACCTCAACAACATGGCGGTGTTTGCGTTCAACCGACCCATTCTGTTGATGAGCATGGGGACAAGAAACATGGTGAGAAATTCCAATCTTTTGAAAGAAAGAATTTAATTTTTCATACTCACCACCCAGTCGGTTTGCATAGCAAGAATTTTTTTAGTCTAGTTGGCGTTCAACAAGGTTTTGGAAATTGAGAAATACTTGGAAAATATCAGATCGTTTCTTTAGCAAATATATCCAAGTGAACTTGCTATAATCATCAATGAAACTAACATAATAGGAAAATCTGCCAACTGATGTGGGAGCTGGTCCCCATACATCTGAAAAAATTAACTGCAATGGAGCAGTTGATACACTTGTAGATATGGGATAGGGTAGCTGATGACTCTTAGCTTGCTGGCAAGCATCACAAATTGACTCAACACTAGACTCATAGGGAAGATTATTCTTGCTAAGGACATGCTTAACTATGACTGAAAAGGGATGACCAAGACGACTATGCCACTTTGCCAAAGAAGGTTTGGTGACACTCCACGCTTGTTTATTCGACCATGATGAAGATGAAGATGATATGAGTGGATATAGGCCTCCCTCACACTTTCCTCTAAGTATGACCCTCCTCGTTGCCAAGTCCTTGATCACAAAACAGTAGGGATAAAATATTATAAGAGCGTTGTTGTCAAGGGCAAAGTGATGAACTGAAACGAGATTTTTTGAAGCATGTGGAACATGTAGGACATTATTAAGATGTAAATATTTTACGGGGGTTTTAACAATTGATTTTCCAACATGAGTGATGTCCATACCAGTTCCACTTGCCGTGTGTATCTGATCACCACCATGGTACCTTTCCCGCATCGTCAGCTTGTCAAGTTCCCCGGTAATATGCTCAGTAGCACCGGAGTCGGCATACCAGTTGGTGTTAATGCCGTAGTTGTTGGTGACGAGGTTGGCTGCCTTCTTCTCCTCATGATCATCATCATAGCGATGCCAGCACGCTCTTGCGCCACCGGCATGAAACTTGTAGCAGATCTGGCACTCTGGATGGTCACCTTCTTGCTACTGCTGTTGTTGTGGTTGGGGACGAAGTCGTTGCTGCTGGTAGCCGCCACCACCACCGCGACCAAGAGATGAAGCAGAGCGGTTCCCTCGACCGCGCCCTCCTCTGGTGCTTCGGCCGCGACCTCCCCTGCCACAGGACTGCCCGCGCCCCTGTAGACGGCATTGGCAGAGGAGCGGAAGCCTGCTGGTCCGTCCCCCAGCATCTCCATGCGTTGGTCAAACGCAGAAATCTACGCGAACAGATCGTCGACGCTGATGGAGTTCTTGATTGTGCCGATTGCTGCCACAACGGGATCATAGTCCCGATCAAGGCCAACCAATATGTAGTCCACCATCTCTAGATCGGTAATCGGACGCCCAGCTACAGCTAGCTCGTCCCCGAGGTTCTTCATCTTGGAAATGAAGGCGTTGCTCGACATGTTGCCCTTCTTGGTGTTGGAGATGGCCATCCGTAGATTGGTTATGCGGGATTGCGACTGCGCAGTGAATATTGTGGTAAGAGCAGTCCACAAATCGAAGGTGCTGTCCTTACCGATGACTTGTGCAAGGATTTCCTGGGTGAGAGAGTTCAACAGGTAGCTCAGAACCTGTTGATCCTTCGACAACCACGGGCCGTACAGAGGGTTGGGCTCAATGGTCGTGGTTTTATCTGCCTTGGTGACTTCTATTATCTTGGGCGGTGCGGCGTCGCTGCCGTCGAGGAGGCCGGTCACTTGCGCGCCTCGCAGTGCCGGCATGACCTACGCCTTCCACAGGAGGTAGTCCCCCCTTGAGAGCTTCTCTGTTGGTGGAGCTCCTAGGTTGAGACCGACGGCGCTTGAGCTCGTGGCCATGGCTATGGAAGGGTGTTTAGGATTTTGGTTTTGCTAGACGATAGGAAGAGACCTAGCTCTGATATCATGTTAGATTGGATCGATGGAAGCGTCCCTACTCCTCCGTAGAGAAGCCGCGGGTATATATTGATTGTGGGCAGAAACAACCTCTGCCGTGGCGTACAAGAAGACCACCGATCGCTAGGATTCAGCGGGATAGAGATAGGAGGTTACATGGGAGAGAAAAAGAGATAGAGATGGTAGTTGAGATTACATAACTTCAATATCTCTAAGTCTAACAAGTTGCACTAGCGTCGAGCTGAACTCCGATCCTCGGTTCCTGCTCTTGGTTGGTTGGTTCTGTGGACTCAAATGTGATTGCACCATTTGTTGTCTTGTTGATCACTGGCGTTCAATGAGCCGAACTTCGAGCTGATTAAGCTACAAGCGCTGTTTGTTTACTGAAGAGCTTAATACTGCAGAGAATCAGCTTTAGACCCTGCGCGTGCTTGCCTAAGAAATACTGTATGACCGACGCGCCGAGAAAATGCACCATTTTGTGGGCACAAGCACGCACTCTAGTAGCGCTACTATTGCAATTCCAGACGAGGAGATCATCGTGAACCGTAGACGCGTATCCCGGTTGGCATTTTCTTGCACGCACGGACCAGTCAAGACTAAAGAGTCAAGACACAGCTGTTGGGCGATCACATCCAGCTCGCGTGTACTCCTGCGCTAGGTTCCATTGTTTCCAGCGTATAATTGGCTCATTGCGTCTGATTTTCTCTGAATCGAACCTGCGCCGCACACAACCTTACGGACCAAGGCATTTCCAAACGGTTTGGCCATTTCAGAAATAGCACTCATATCCAATCATTGAGATTTGATACAGGTATATCGAACTTCCCTCGCAAAAAAGAAAAAGAGGATTTGAAGGTTATTACATGATCGCCTATAAACATGTCGACTAAAAATAGCCACTTTTACCTAATATATAAGCGCACCCCATCATGAGAAAAAATCAATCTGTTTCACCGTTACAGAAATTCTGCAAATGTTGCAGAGCGTCCAGCTTTCACTGAATCATCATCAAAGTCACAACCATGCCCCCAAACACACACAGACGCCGGACTAGCGAGAGGCGCAGAATTTTGCAGTTATGCGAGCTGCGTGCCATATCCGTTTAACGAGACGCTTTCATTCCCTAACTAACGGCTGCACCGCTGAAAACGACCAGAGCTATAGCAAAAGCCAAAGCGTGAAAGCGGCGGTATCATTCCGCATCCGGCTATCCGGTGGACGCGTGCATGCCATGCATGCGCTCGACGAGGCGATAGAAAGGCATGCACGCATCGCGTCACCTGTGCAGACAGGTCTAGAGCCCGTTCGAACAAGCCGACGTCCGCCGCTGAGAACGGAGTCTGATTACGCTTGGAACGGAAGCCTCCGCCGCTGATTCGCTCACCTTTCTACCCATTGCGCAACTGCCTCGCTCGTCATCGCACCGGGTGATCCGATCTGCTGGGCGGCACGTGAGAACGGGGCGCGCGTGGCGCGGACCTGGGACGTGGTGACCGTCGGCACGGCAGCGCCGCTCGCGCTCGGCACGGCACGCGCGGCAGGCTGTGCCACCGAAAGGTGGCAGGTTGGGCAAGCACGAGAAGGTGCTAGTACGAGTACCCAACAAAATGTGGCTCCGGGTGGCTTAGCATTAAGGCGGGAGCTTCAGATGTTAATTTGAAGGGCTGCATCAGTGGTCAACGGGTGAAGAAAGTGGTAACTATGCTACTGTAGGATTTACTTACGCACAGAGACACAGAGCGACAGTGACTGACTCGAGGTTAATATTGATGAACCAGCCCAGCCCTGAGCCTCAAACACACCGGGCTCGACGCTGGCTGAGTAGCTTGTTTCTTACTACTGTAGTCAGTAAACGAGGCCACCCAGAAACATTCCAAAAATGAGTAGAGAGACGAGATGAGATCCCGGACCCGAGGAAAAACAGCGTGCGCCGACGCCGAGACCCGGGCCGTGTCCTGGACAACGCAACAGGGGGATACGGTGACGCCATCAATTCCTGCCAAAAACTTTACCGCGCGTACTCTCTGCTGTACTGTAAAAAGGAAGCTAATTAATCCGCCAACGGGGTCTCGCCTCGCGTAATCCTCAGCACTGCTCCCACACTCCCTCTCACTCATTGCTCCCCATCCGCGGCAGGCAGGGGCAAGAATGCGGAGCGAGCCGGCCGCCGCCGCCGGCGGCGGCATTGCGGCTGTTCCGTCCCCCGCTTTGCTCTGCTCCGACCTCAAGCCCTTCCTCGCCGCGCTCACCATGCTCACGCTCCTCGCCGCCGCCTGGCAGCTCCGCCCCTACCACTCCCTGCTCGCCGTCCCGTTCTCCCTCTGCCCGGACCCGCCCCCCTCGCTGCCGCGCTCGCTCGCCGTCTCCGGCAAGGCGTCCAGCCCCAGCTCCAACGCCTCCTCGTCGCCGAAGCAGGGTCAGGAGCGGCCCAAGCCCGACCCGAACAGGCGGGAGTTCCGCGCGGTGGGCAGCGCGGCGGCGCTGTTCGTGCAGATGGGCGCGTACCGCGGCGGGCCGTACACCTTCGCGGTCGTCGGGCTCGCGTCCAAGCCCGTCCACGTCTACGGCAAGCCCTGGTTCCGCTGCGAGTGGGTGCCCAACGCCGGCGCCGCCAACGCCTCCGCCTCGTCGGCGCGGCCGATGCGCGCGGCCAACACGTACCACATGCTCCCGGACTGGGGCTACGGCCGGGTGTACACCGTCGTGGTGGTGAACTGCACCTTCTCGGCGGCGCCCAACGCCGACAATGCCGGGGGCAGGCTGGTGCTCAACGCCTACTACGGGCCGTCGCCGGCGCGGTACGAGCGGATCGAGGCGCTGGAGGAGGCGCCGGGGGCCTACGACGAGGCGGCGTTCCGCCCCCCGCACAGGTACGACTACCTCTACTGCGGCTCGTCGCTGTACGGCGACCTCAGCGCGGCGCGCGTGCGGGAGTGGATGGCCTACCACGCGCGCTTCTTCGGCGCGCGCTCGCACTTCGTGTTCCACGACGCCGGCGGCGTCAGCCCCGCGGTGCGCGCGGCGTTGGAGCCCTGGGTGCGCGCCGGCCGCGCCACGCTGCAGGACGTGCGCGCCCAGGCCGACTACGACGGCTGGTACCACAACCAGTTCCTCGTCGTCAACGACTGCCTCCACCGGTACCGGCACGCCGCCAGGTGGACCTTCTTCTTCGACGTCGACGAGTACATCTTCCTGCCCGACGGCCGGACGCTCGAGGGCGTGCTCGCCGAGCTCGACCCGTACACGCAGTTCACCATCGAGCAGAACCCCATGTCGAGCAGGTTGTGCGCGCGGGGCACCAACGATTCCGAGGCCGACTACTCCAAGTAGGTGACCGTTTCCTGCACAAAATTTGTTTAGTTTAGTGGACATGTTACTCCTTTTACGCAAACCATTGCTGCATCGTTTGAATTTGGCATGTTGATGTGACCTTTTGAACTGGAATTACCCAATTAGGAACCTTCATGTGTCATTTTCTATCGACTATAAGTGCCCATTTGGTTATAAAGTTGCTTCTAAAGGTTCCGTATTCGTGCAATCCCCCACCCTAATCTACGATCTTTGGAGCCGGACATTTCATTTTTGTCTTGTTTTCATTTTCGGTTGCTCTAAGAACAGTTCAGTTGTACTGGTAATTCAAGTGTACTTCTGGTGATGCAATGGCTGAATCCTACCATGTTCTCCTTGCAGTCCTAGTTGTATTACTTCTTTTACATTTGTCAATGCATGGTATATCTGAAAGACTGACTCCTCTTACTCACAATTTTTGCAGACAATGGGGGTTTGAGAAGCTGGTGTTCCGGAATTCGATCACCGGGGTGAGGCGTGACAGGAAGTACGCGATCCAGGCCAAGAACGCATACGCCACGGGCGTGCACATGTCCGAGAACGTTATCGGCAATACCACTCACAAGACGGAGCACCTCATCCGGTACTACCACTACCACAACACCATCAATGTTCCCGGCGAGTTATGCCGTGAGTTTGTGCCGGTGCCGCCGAAAGGTGGCTTGACGTGGTCCGAGAAGACGCCCTGGTACTACGACGACAGCATGAAGCGCCTCACGAACGCGGTGCGGGAGTTCGAGAAGAAAACCATTGGTAATGTGCATGTGTGAATATGGCATGACAAAACATCAGAGAACGGACTGGTGTATAGCATTGCTGTTGGCCGTCCATGAAGCTTGGCAAGGGCATCCCTCATGTTGTGAACCTAACAAACAACTCATGATTTGGAGCTTGTGAGCTGACAGAGACGCGAAGAAAGCGAAACCGCAACCCTGACAGCCTGGCAGATTGTGTGCTACTGCAACAACTCTGGTGTCAATCTGCAAAGGTGAGAATTCTGTATAGAGAAGATACACATCTCATCCATGTAAATCTCATTGTTGAATTGCTCTCAGTCATATTCATTGCATTCCATTGGCTTAAATCTCCAAGTTGATAATAGCTTCGTTTATCGATGATGATGATGCATTTCTAGATTAGATGGTTGCACCTTGCAACTTCCTTTGTTGACTATATGTGCCGCAACAGCATAAACTGTTCTAGCCCTAATTTTTGTTGGATCGACAAGTTAATGCTTAAAGCTCACTAGCTGAATAGATCGGCGCCACATATTGGAATACTTCGTATTGTAGGGGTGTGAAAAGTGATCGAGATCAGCATGGCTCTGATTTTTATTATTTTTTTCCTCCAAACTCCTAAAGTCAGCAAGCAATGCCATAAATTTTGTACGTACTAGGTAGAAAGGCAGAGGAAGGAAGGCAGGGGAGCGTGATGAGATGGGCATGGCTGCATGATTGCATGATTGGGGAAGGGGGGGCCTGGCCTATAGCGATAGCATGGGAGCGTGCTATTGTCTCCAGCTGCTGCCACATTCTTTCTCTTTGCATTGGCATTTGGCCTGATGTTCTGCTAATCGTTTGGTGGGCCGAATTCTCATTCCCAATCTGCGCCATTTTGCTGTATTATCATCGCATCAGGTTTTAGGAGCCCTTTCCTGATTAGTTTCCGTTTCTTCCATCTAATTTTCTGCCGCGTCTTATTGCTCTGTTCTTTCAGTTCACCCAGTTGACAATAAATTGTTCTGGAATCCATTACCTAGAATAAAATTGCTGAGCCTTCTTCACTATACTTGATGAGCTGCTGTGCTTACTGCAGTTCATGACAACTAGTGAGAAGCTGAGAGCGATATATGTGCCCTCAATATGACAATCGCTACGTTAATTGGCACACACGTTATAGTGCAGAGCAGCCGAGTACATCCAAGATGCAGGCACAGTGCTCTGCATCCGAATTCAGAAAGTAGCACTAATGCTCAGTAGGGCCGCTTTTGCAAAGCAGCCCATTCACCTGGGCTGCGCCTCTGTTTCGACTGAATTGGGCCTTTCTCATATTTCCTTTTGCAGTTTTGCTTCAGAGAAAACAGTGCTTCTACGTGTTATATGTCATGTCGACCTCTTACAACCACGTGAGCTCAATCCCTGACCATGAGATGAGAACCACGGTGTGAGCTTGCTTTAATGCTTTATTACTGAACCTTCTACACACCACCATACGTCGCCATCGCAGATGTTCACCGCCGAAGAGGGAAGACGAAGATACCACCGTATCAGGAAGGAAAAAAATCCCTACGGTCTAGCATCCAAGATGTGTTCCGTGATGCGTTCTTGTCACTTTACCATGCCTGAACGAACGAGTCATTTCTGTCATGCCAGTACATGGGGTTTTGCAACTAAGAGCAACTCTAGCAGACCCCGCATCCTGCTCCGGCTTGTAAAATAACCGTCAAAGTGCGGGTCGGGGCGGGAAAACCTGCCCGATCAGACTCCGCATTCCGCCCCGGCCCGCAAATATTTTTGCGGGGCACGGCAAAACTTTTCCCTGAACCTCTAGTTTCACGGGCTGGGAGGCCGACCTGAGCGCAACCCCTATCCGCGGCGAGATTTGACGGGAGGGACATTTTCGCGCGCCCTTTCCTGCTTCCTCACCCTCCGCCACCATTGCCCCGCCGCCGCACGCTTCGATGCATCCTCCGCGGCCGTCCCTTGCCGTCATGGACGACTCCCAGCTGCCCCCCGTCACCGTCAAGGTCGCGCATGCCCGTTCCCTCGAGCGGATCTCGTCGCCGGCCATGTTGGCCCCGCCATCGCTCAAGCTAGCGTCGCGCCTGCCCGCAAGTGGCAGGGCAACGTGGTCGTGCAGGGCGGGAATCTAGCAGCCCCCGCCACCAAGGCTCGCGCTCCCGGCGCCAACGCTGCTGTGCGATCTCGGCCGGCGGCGAAGAAGGTGACCAAGGCCGCGGGCGGCAAGAGGAAGAGGAATCCGACTACAAACAAGGCACCTCCTTCATCCTCGGACTCCATCCCCGAAAGAAGTGCCCCGTTGATGCCGTCCAACGGCGCTGCTCTGAAGAAAATATGCCCTAAAGGCAATAATAAAGTTATTATTTATTTCCTTATATCATGATAAATGCTTATTATTCATGCTATAATTATATTAACCGGAAACATAATACATGTGTGAATACATAGACAAACATAATGTCACTAGTATGCCTCTACTTGACTAACTCGTTAATCAAAGATGGTTGTGTTCCTTAACCATAGACATGAGTTGTCATTTGATTAACGGGATCACATCATTAGGAGAATAATGTGATTGACTTGACCCATTCCGTTAGCTTAGCACTTGATCGTTTAGTATGTTACTATTGCTTTCTCCATGACTTATACATGTTCCTACAACTATGAGATTATGCAACTCCCATTTACCGGAGGAACACTTTGTGTGCTATCAAACGTCACAACATAACTGAGTGATTATAAAGGAGCTCTACAGGTGTCTCCAAAGATACATGTTGACTTGGCGTATTTCGAGATTAGGTTTTGTCACTACGATTGTCGGAGAGGTATCTCTGGGCCCTTTCGGTAATGCACATCACTATAAGCCTTGCAAGCAATGTAGCTAATGAGTTAGTTACGGAATGATGCATTACATAACGAGTAAAGAGACTTGCCGGTAACGAGATTGAACTAGGTATTGAGATACCGACGATCAAATCTCGGGCAAGTAACATACCGATAACAAAGGGAACAACGTATGTTGTTATGCGTTTTGACCGATAAAGATCTTCGTAGAACATGTAGGAGCCAATATGAGCATCCAGGTTCCGCTATTGGTTATTGACCGGAAACGTGTCTCAGTCATGTCTACATAGTTCTTGAACCCGTAGGGTCCTCATGCTTAAAGTTAGATGACAGTTATATTATGAGTTCATGTATTTTGATGCACCAAAGATAGTTCGGAGTCCCGGATGTGATCACGGACATGACGAGGAGTCTCTAAATGGTCGAGACATGAAGGTTGATATATTGGACGACTATATTCGAACACCGGAATGGTTCCGGGGGTTATCGGATATATACCGGAGTACCGGGGGGTTACCGGAACCCCCCGGGGGGTTAATGGGCCTCATGGGCCCAAAGTGGAGAAGAGGAGAGGTGGCCAGGGCAGGCCGCGTGCCCCCTCCCCCTCTAGTCCGAATAGGACAAGGGGGGGGCGCCCCCCTTTCCTTCCTCCCCTCTTTCCCTTCCTTTCCCCTCTCCTACTTGGACAAGGAAAGGAGGGAGTCCTACTCCTTGTGGGAGTAGGACTCCTCCTGGCGCGCCCCCTCCTGGCCGACCGTCCCCTCCCCTTTGCTCCTTTATATACGGGGGTAGGGGGACACCTCTAAACAACAACAATTGATCCTTGAGATCTATTAGCCTTGTGCAGTGCCCCCCTCCATCATATTTCACCTCGATAATATCGTAGCGGTGCTTAGGCGAAGCCCTGCGTCGGTAGAACATCATCATCGTCACTGATGTCTACTATGCAACCTTCTTTTTGTAGACGTTGTTGGGCCTGCAAGTGCACAGGTTTGTAGGACAGTAGCAAATTTCCCTCAAGTGGATGACCTAAGGTTTATCAATCCGTGGAAGGTGTAGGATGAAGATGGTCTCTCTCAAACAACCCCGCAACCAAATAACAAAGAGTCTCTTGTGTCCCCAACACACCCAATATAATGGTAGATTGTATAGGTGCACTAGTTCGGCGAAGAGATGATGATACAAGTGTAATATGGGTGGTAGATATAGATATTTTTAATCTGAAAATATAAAAACAGCAAGGTAATAAGTGGTAAAAGTGAGTGTAAACGGTATTGCAATGATAGAAAACAAGGCCTAAGGTTCATACGTTCACTAGTGCAAGTTCTCTCAATAATAATAACATAGATAGATCATATAACAATCCCTCAACATGCAACAAAGAGTCACTCCAAAGCCACTAATAGCGGAGAACAAACGAAGAGATTATGGTAGGGTACGAAACCACCTCAAAGTTATTCTGTCGGATCAATCTATTCAAGAGTTCATACTAGAATAACACCTTAAGACACAAATCAACCAAAACCCTAATGTCACCTAGATACTCCATTGTCACCTCAAGTATCCGTGGGCATGATTATACGATATGCATCACACAATCTCGGATTCATCTATTCAACCAACACAAAGTACTTCAGAGAGTGCCCCAAAGTTTCTACCGGAGAGTCAAGACGAAAACGTGTGCCAACCCCTATGCATAGGTTCATGGGCAGAACCCGCAAATTGGTCACCAAAACATACATCAAGTGGCACATGCTATTCCATTGTCACCACAGATAAGCACGACAAGACATACATCAAGTGTTCTCAAATCATCAAAGACTCAATCCGATAAGATAACTTCAAGAGGAAAACTCAATTCATCACAAGAGAGTAGAGGGGAAGAAACATCATAAGATCCAACTATAATAGCAAAGTTCGTGCTACATCAAGATCGTGTCATAGAGAGAACACGAGAGAGAGAGTCAAACACATAGCTACCGGTACATACCCTCAGCCCCGAGGGTGAACTACTCCCTCCTCGTCATGGAGAGCGCCGGGATGATGAAGATGGGCACCGGTGATGGGTTTCCCCTCCGGCGGGTTGCCGGAACGGGCTCCCGAGAGGTTTTTGGTGGCTACAGAGGCTTGCGGCGGCGGAACTCCCGATCTATCTTCTGTTTCAATGTTTCCAGGGTACGTGGACTTATATAGGCGAAAGAAGTCGGTCGAGGGAGCCTCAAGGGGCCCACAAGAGTGGAGGGTGCCCCCCTATCTTGTGGCTTCCTCGATGCTGCCCCGGCTTGCACTCCAAGTTTTCTGGGTCACGTTCGTTCCAAAAATAACTTCTCCGAAGGTTTCATTCCGTTTGGACTCCATTTGATATTACTTTTCTTCGAAACACTAAAATAGGCAAGAAAACAACAATATGGGTTGGGCCTCCGGTTAGTAGGTTAGTCCCAAAAATGATATAAAAGTGTAAACTAAAGCCCATAAACATCCAAAACAGATAATATAATAGCATGGAATAATCAAAAATTATAAATTCGTTGGAGACGTATCAAGCATTCCCAAGCTTAATTCCCGCTCGTCCTCAAGTAGATAAATGATGAGAACAGAATTTTTGATGTGGAATGCTACCTAGCATAATTCTCAATGTAATTTTCTTTATTGTGGCATGAATGTTCAGATCCAAAACCAGGCGTCAAGCCTGGTAAGCTATATCTCAAAAAAAATGTTCAGATCCAAATGATTCAAGATAAAAGCTTATAAAACATAAAAATAATAATGCTTCAAAGCATACTAACAAATAATCATGTCCTATCAAAATAGCATAGCCAAAGAAAGCTTATCCCTACAAAATCATATAGTTAGGCCATGCTTCATTTTCATTACACAAAATACTCCCATCATGCACAACCCCGATGACGAGCCGAGCAATTGTTTCATACTTTTTAACGCGCTTCAGCTTTTTTCAACTCTTATGCAATACATGAGCGTAAGCCATGGACATAACACTAAGGTGGTAAAAGATGGTGGTTGTGAGAACAAAAAAAGGGAGAAGATAGTCTCACATCAACTAGGGTATCAACGGGCTATGGAGATGTCCATCAATAGATATCAATGTGAGTGAGTAGGGATTGCCATGCAACGGATGTACTAGAGCTATAAATATATGAAAGCTCAACAAAAGAAACTAAGTGCGTGTGCATCCAACTTGCTTGCTCACGAAGACCTAGGGCATTTTGAGGAAGTCCATCATTGGAATATACAAGCCAAGTTCTATAATGAAAAATTCGCACTAGTATCTGAAAGTGACAACATAGAAGACTCTCTATCATGAAGATCATGGTGCTACTTTGAAGCACAAGTGTGGAAAAGGAGATATTAGCATTGTCCCTTCTCTCTTTTTCTCTCATTTTATTTTTTCCCTTTTCTTTTCTTTTTTTTCTTTTTCTTTTCTTTTTTTCTTTGGCCTTTTTTTTTGCCTTTCTTTTTTTTTCTTTTTAAAGTCTGAAGTCTCATCCCGACTTGTGGGGAAATCATAGTCTTCATCATCCTTTCCTCACTGAGACAATGCTCTAATAATGAAGATCATCACACTTTTATTGATTTACAACTCAAAGCTAGAACGAGATATGACTCTATATGAATGCCTCCGGCGGTGTACCTGGATATGCAATGAATCAAGAACGACATGTATGAAAATTATGAAGGTGGCCTTGCCACAAATACGATTTCAACTATATGATCATGCAAAGAGCAATATGACAATGATGGAACGTGTCATAATAAACGGAACAGTGAAAAGTTGCATGGCAATATATCTCGGAATGGCTATGGAAATGCCATAATAGGTAGGTATGGTGGCGGTTT